GTGTTGAAGTCTCCTACAATGAATGCATTGCAGTCTATTTCCCTCTTTAGTTCTGTTAGTATTTGCTTCACATATGCTGGTGCTCCTGTATTGGGTGCATATATATTTAGAATGGTTATATCCTCTTGTTGGACTAAGCCCTTTATCATTATGTAGTGGCCTTCTTTATCTCTTGTTACTTTCTTTGTTTTGAAGTCTATTTTGTCTGATATTAGTACTGCAACCCCTGCTTTCTTCTCACTGTTGTTTGCCTGAAATATGTTTTTCCATCCCTTGACTTTTAGTCTATGCTTATCTTTGGGTTTAAGGTGAGTTTCTTGTAAGCAGCATATAGATGGGTCTTGCTTTTTTATCCATTCTATTACTCTATGTCTTTTGATTGGTGCATTAAGTCCATTTACATTTAGGGTGACTATTGAAAGATATGTACTTATTGCCATTGCAGGCTTTAGATTCGTGGTTACCAAAGGTTCAAGGTTAGCTTCTTTAGTATCTTACTGCCTAACTTAGCTCGCTTATTGAGCTGTTATATACACTGTCTGGAGAGTCTTTTCTTCTCTCCCTTCTTATTCCTCCTCCTCCATTCTTCATATGTTGTGTGTTTTGTTCTGTGCTCTTTTTAGGGGTGCTCCCATCTAGAGCAGTCCCTGTAGGATGCCCTGTAGAGGTGGTTTGTGGGAAGCAAATTCCCTCAGCTTTTGCTTGTCTGGGAATTGTTTGATCCCACCATCATATTTAAATGATAGTCGTGCTGGATACAGTATCCTTGGTTCAAGGCCCTTCTGTTTCATTGCATTAAGTATATCATGCCATTCTCTTCTGGCCTGTAGGGTTTCTGTTGAGAAGTCTGATGTTAGCCTGATTGGTTTTCCTTTATAGGTGACCTTTTTCTCTCTAGCTGCCTTTAAAACTCTTTCCTTGTCCTTGATCCTTGCCATTTTAATTATTATGTGTCTTGGTGTTGTCCTCCTTGGATCCTTTCTGTTGGGGGTTCTGTATAATTCCATGGTCTGTTCGATTATTTCCTCCCCCAGTTTGGGGAAGTTTTCAGCAATTATTTCTTCAAAGACACTTTCTATCCCTTTTCCTCTTTCTTCCTCTTCTGGTATCCCTATAATACGAATGTTTTTCCTTTTGTATTGGTCACATATTTCTCTTAGTGTTGTTTCATTCCTGGAGATCCTTTTATCTCTCTCTATGTCAGCTTCTATACGTTCCTGTTCTCTGGCTTCTATTCCTTCAATGGCCTCTTGCATCTTATCCATTCTGCTTATAAATCCTTCCAGGGATTGTTTCACTTCTGTGATCTCTTTCCTGACATCTGTGATCTCCTTCCGGACTTCATCCCACTGCTCTTGCATTTTTCTCTGCATCTCATCCCACTGCTCTTGCATTTTTCTCTGCATCTCATCCCATTGCTCTTGCATTTTTTTCTGCATCTCTGTCAGCATGTTCATGATTTTTATTTTGAATTCTTTTTCAGGAGGACTAGTTAGGTCTGTCTCCTTCTCAGGTGTTGTCTCTGTGATCTTTGTCTGCCTGTAGTTTTGCCTTTTCATGGTGATAGAGATAGTTTGCAGAGCTGGTACAAGTGACCGCTGGAAGAGCTTCCCTTCTTGTTGGTTTGTAGCCTTTTCCTGGGAGAATAGCGACCTCTAGTGGCTTGTGCTGGGCAGCTGTGCGCAGACAGGGCTTCTGCTTCCTGCCCAGTTGCTTTGGGGTTTATCTCCGCTGTTGCTGTGGGCTTGGCCTGGCTGGGGCTGTTCCTCCAAAATGGTGGAGCCCCGTTGGAGGGGGAGCAGCCAGGAGACTATTTATCTCCGTAAGGGGCCTCTGTGCTCCCTGCTGCCCAGGGGGTTAGAGTGCCCAGAGATCCCCAGATTCCCTGCTTCTGGTCTAAGTGACCTGTCCTGCCCCTTTAAGATTTCCAAAAAGCACTCTCCAAACCAAAACAACAACAGCAACAATGAGAGAGGGAACAGAAAGGAAAAAAAAAAGAAAAAACACGCGATTTTTTTTTTTTTTTCCCCAGGTGCCGGTCCCAGGCACCCGCGCACTGGTCCTGCTGCCCTGTCTCCCTAGCACCAGGGTCCCTGTCCTTTCAAGGCTTCCAAAAAGCACCCACCCACCGGTCCCGCAGGGAAGGAACGCTCAATATTCTTGGTCCTCAGGCACTGGTCCCACGCACCCGCTCACCAGTCCCGCCGCCCTGCCTCCCTAGCACCGGGGTCCCTGTCCCTTCAAGGCTTCCAAAAAGCACTCGGCAAAAAGAGAGAAAAAAAAGGGGAAAAACGCGCGATTTCTTCCGTCCTCAGGTGCTGGTCTCAGGCACCCACCCACCGGTCCCACAGGGAAAAATGCGGGATATTCTTTGTCCTCAGGTGCCGGTCCCAGGCACCCGCTCACCAGTCCCGCCGCCCTGCCTCCCTAGCACCGGGGTCCCTGTCCCTTTTAGGCTTCCAAAAAGCACTCGCAGAAAAGAGAAAAAAAAAAGGGGAAAAACGCGCGATTTCCTCTGTCCTCAAGTGCCGGTCTCAGGCACCCGCCCACCGGTCCCGCAGGGAAAAACGGGGGATATTCTTTGTCCTCAGGCGCCGGTCCCAGCCACCCGCTCACCAGTCCCGCCACCGTGCCTCCCTAGCACTGGGGTCCCCGTCCCTTCAAGGCTTCCAAAAAGCGCTCGCCAAAAAGAGAAAAAAAAAAAAAGGGAAAAACGCGCGACCTCCTCCGTCCTCAGGCACCGGTCTCAGGCACCCGCCCCCAGGTCTCGCAGGGAGAAACGCGGGATATTCTTTGTCCTCCGGCGCCGTTCCCAGGCACCTCCTCACCGGTCCCGCCACCCTGCCTCCCCAGCAACGGGGGCCCGTCCCTCTAAGGCTTCCAAAAAGCGCTCGCCAAAAAAAAAACCAGCTCCGGTTTCTTTCCACCCGCCGGGAGCCGGGGGGAGGGGCGCTCGGGTCCCGCCGGGCTGGGGCTTGTATCTTACCCCCTTCACAAGGCGCTGGGTTCTTGCAGGTGTGGATGTGGTCTGGATGTTGTCCTGTGTCCTGTGGTCTCTATTTTAGGAAGATTTTTCTTTGTTATATTTTCATAGCTCTATGTGTTTTTGGGAGGAGATTTCCACTGCTCTACTCACGCCGCCATCCTGGCTCCGCCCCCCTACATTATATTTTTAATATGGAAATGGTGATCACTTATATTTGTGTCATGGGTAACAAGTGTCTGTCCTTTTAACTATGTTTGACATATAATTTAAAATAAAATATTTCGAATAAGCCTGCAAAATCAGATTAAAATACAGCCAAGGGTGATGAGCAAAGGATGACGAAAGAGTCCAGGAGCCAGTCAGGACCCTGCTCTGTGTTCTAACCTCTCTGGCGTGAACAAAGCAATGTTACCTTTTAAATTTGAAATGTTCGTTTGAGGGATTCTGTTGGATTTTCTGTCACAGTAGAAACATGGCTCTTGGAGTTGGTAAACAAATGGTATTTGGAGTGATTTCAGGTTTTTCAGAATGTTCTCTCTGACCACTACAGGCAGGTTACAAATAGCACATTATAAATGTGGCTAGTCCTCAAGTCACTGGCCCATCACATAAGAGAGACTGAGGCCTTGAATCCTTAATTGATGATTAATATAAATAACGTTTTCCTAGGGTCTGGTATCTAGGCCATCGGCTAAGGTGCTCTTTTTCTGCAGGTGGACTTGTGAGGTCCTGTACCTAACAGTGACCATCAGGTGGAAGGAAGGGAGGCAGGTGTCCACTTCACAGCACTATGGCTCATCTCAAGAAGTGTCCACAGGCCCAGGTCTCCTGTGGTGTGGCACTTCTCTCCTTCCCTCTCATAGACTTTCTGGATCTTTACCCCTCAGATGCTGCCATCGTGTAGATTTTAACCACAGTCTGCATGAATGAGTTGTTGGAAATGGAGGAAATATGCAAAATCACTCAGTCACTTACAACCTCTTTAAACAAGTGACTTGTAGTATGTGCCAACTAAGTACCTCAAAACCAGTAGCACTGGTCAGCTGAATTTTCTTACCTCTTAGTACTGGTGACACTCCAGACAGTCTCTGCTTTATTTAAGTGAACTTTTAATTTTAGAATAGTTGACAGAAAAGTTGCAGAGTACAGAAAGTTCCCATATATCTCTTACCCAGTGTCTCCTATTGTTAACATCTTACGTTACTTCTAGGCAATATTTTTAAGACACTTTTACCTTGTTTGGGGATGTGGATACATTTTATTCACAGATTTAAAACCTCAAAGATAATACTGACAGGAAAGTATGGCAAAATTAAATGTATTTCATTTATAAAGTAACCTGAAAATAAAAGAACTACGACCTTGGCAAAATAATGGAGATCTTTTAAAATTATGAACACGGTGCTTGGTACATGTAAATGCTCAACGACTCTTTACTGAAGGAATTGATAAGTGCATGCAGATGCCATCTCTCTCCATTTACTGAGAACCGCAAGTTGTTACAGCTTTCAGAAGAGATCATGTAACCCCATATATAAACTGTTCTGCCTTACCCAGGTTGGAATTCTTACTATTAATTGGCAAATGGCATAATTAATTAATATCATGAAATCTTGTTTTTTTCTCCATCTCTCTAATTATTTTAAACTACCAGTAGGTAACACTGACTGCCTGTTATTTGCTCTGCCCTCTCTGCATCTTGGTGAACACTAAGTATAAGCTTTGGAACTTTTGTTTTTTTTCTTATCTGTTTACTTTCTTTATAGATTATGGTTTGCTCTATACTTGAGCAGTGCTAAATCCTATCTTGTGAAAAAGTTTCATTTTTCTTGGATTACCAATACCGGCATTAAATATTGTATGGGAAAAATCATCTTTGGTAGTGGCCAACTAGACTTTTTAGCAGTCTTTAATCTGACTAAATAGAAGAAATTGGAATGTTTTTATCAAGGTAAATAAGAATAATTTATTTGGAAGGTAGACTATTCAGCAATTAATCTTTTTATGTTTTCAGAATTCAGCTGTGGAAATGGTTTTGTCAAAACAACTTTCTCTTGATGTTCAAGAAAGCATGAAAAACACTGAAGATGAACAGAAAGTCAATGAGCTGCAAAATCAACCTTTAGAATTAGATATTATGTTAAGAGATGAACAATTAAAAGAGATAGAGGTATGGAAACAAGAAAAACACTGATAACATGATTGCATCATTTATCCAGTGCAATACAATATATTTTAATTACCAAAAACTTGCTTGCACAGAATGAAAAGTCTTATTTAACCTTTGCCTGATGATCAATTTGGTAACTATATAATTATGTACTAATCAGTAAGTTGTATAAATTTTTCCATTAGAAGAAGTAGAAGAGTTGAATGCGCATTAGTCTTTCTCTTCCACAAAGTTCCTAAAAACTTACTTATTCAGTACCAAATTTGGAGATTCTGATTTGTCATCATTCCCTTTCTTAGTCATATGTATTCTTCTGATTTTGACAAATTCCTTTTATTTTCCTAATTATCAGCATTATGGGGTACTCCTTCGTTTTTACAGCTGTGTTTACTTAGCTGTGTTTATATATTTATGTATTTGTCGCTATGTGAAGTAATCCAAAAGTCCAATACATGGCCATGTTTTTAAAAATGAACCTACAGTTTTAGCCAAGTTTATCTAAAAGTAAACACATACCTAAAACAGGAAAGAGGGGTGATGTATGTGAATAATAAAAATAGAATAAATCTTCTTGAAGGCATTGCCTAACGTTTTAATGTGATAGGGTGATCTAATCGCTGTTCAATGCTAGACCACTTGTGAGTTTTAGTCTAGATTTTAACATGATTCTAGTGAAAAAAATCATTTACATGTCAGCACCTTAAGTTTCTCTGTGTACAAATGAAATAACATCTTCTTGGGATAGACTCTGTTATGGGAAGGAAAAAGAAAGAAAGAGAGAGAGAGAGAGGGAGAGGGAGGGAGGGAGGAAGAATGAATGGTGAATGAATGAATGAATGAATGAGAGAGAGTTTATCTACTGATTTCCTTGACTTGTTTTTAGGAATTACATACCCAGTTGGAAGCAAAGAAAGCAACCATTGACCCACTGAAATGCAGTGAAGACCTCAAGGAAACAGAGGCAAGTGCCTTGGTTCTCCACAGCACAAGGTATTCAGTGCACCACTTGGACAATCTGCTTCAGGCACTAACTACTTTGAAGAAAAATAAAGAAAGACAATACAGTCTGCTTAAAGATTTTCAGGAACATCTCGCTACAGCTGAATCCTCGTTGAAAGCCTTGTTGACAGAAAAGGAAAGTCTAAAAGTGTAAGTGTCAGAAGTTAGGACTTGCATTCTTTTTATTCAAGTACAGGCTCCACTACCTTGGACAGGCCCAGGGTTTTAAGAGTTTATACTATAAAAGGATATTATGATTTTAATACTACAATATGGAAATTAATTCTATTTGGAAGCTATTGAAAAAAACCATTGATTTCTTGCAAAAAAAAAAAACCAATGTCATTTATGCTCATTTTACAATTATGCTAATTTTACAAAATTTATTAGTTCCCACTATAAATATCTGCAAAGCAGGTTTAAGTTCCATGGAATTTATCACTCCTTTTTGTCTAGAGTTAATTCTAAACTATGGGGGTAGAGAGAAACATGTATACAATTGCTTAGTATCAGCAAAATTGGTTCAAATAGTTAGGACCATATTGAATATATATGCACTCTAACATTTCTTTTTACATATGTGAGCTCCTCTTGGCTTTGAAAATGATGGCACATGGTTGTAGATAAAGTCAATTGTAAATATTTTCTCATTATTAAAAGGGTATATTTTATGTACTTTTTCCTAAATGGGTTTTACTTTCAATGATATCTTTGGAGGAAATAATTTTATATTCAAAAGATTAGCCTGATGATTACACCTTCTTAGTTGACATCTTGATCGTTATTGTTGGAAAGACAATAACATAGGTGTTGGATGTTGTGATAATTTCTTTCAGTCCTAGACTTAACCTTTGTGCAAGTACCTCCTAGGTTACAGAGTATTTTTAAATCCATTGTTCCCTTCACTTTTCACTCCTTTGCTGTGCTTCTGCATTTTTATAATACTCATTTTATAGGTGAGCTTTCTACATAGTCATACACTAAATTGAAAGTCAGTGAATAAGATTCTGATTTTTATTTTAAGGACAGGCTGAACTTACAGACGACCCAATCTTTTCTTCTCTGAATTCAAAGCAGAATTAATTTCTTTTAATGACATCTAACCTCATTGGTGTATAATACATGGTATGTTTATTTAAGATTTTTCTTCTTTTTCTAGGGGACCACTGGGCAGTGCAACCTACTTAGATAAAATTAGAAAATTGCTAGTGTCAGTAGAAAAAGAGAAAGGTTCTTTAAGCAGGATGAAAATTGAATGGGAAAATTTATCAGACCATCTGACTGATATGGATAAGAAGCTGTTGGAAAGCCAGATCAAGCAACTTGAACATGGTTGGGAACAAGCGGAACAACTGGTTCAAAAGAAGTATTCTCAGCAAGTAGTGGAACATGATGAATTCACATTTCTCCTGAGTAAGATCCAAGACCTTGAAATTTCTTTGCAGCAGCACCAGTGTTTGCAGTCAAGGCCAAACTCTTCAGAACAGGAAGGGGGCCAAAGCGTGGTTGACCTGGCCACTGAACTCCAGGCTGTCAAGCATAGGTTTTCTGTTTTAAAGGGGCAGGCTGAACTTCAGATGAAGAGGATTTGGGGAGAAAAAGAGAAGAAGATTTTGGAAGATGCAGCAAATAATATGCAGAGGCGGTTGGAAGTATTGGAACCATTAAACATGGAGATGGAAAATCAAATCAAGCAGTGTGAAGTAAAGAACAAGATGAAAGAGACCATCTTGTGGGTCAAGAAGCTGCTCGGTGAACCCATTCCTACCATTTCTCTTCTCCCAGATGACATTCTTTCACAGATTAGAAAGTGCAAGGTGACACATGATGGCATCCTGGATAAGCAACAGGCTGTGGAGTCATTGGTTGAAGAGGTCAAAGAGAATATTCCTAACCTTACAGTATACGAGAGCAGTGATTTAAATAACCTTCTACAAGACTTACAGAATCAATACCAACTGCTAGTTTTAAAATCAACTCAAAGATCACAGCAATTAGAATTTAAATTGGAAGAAAGAAGCAAATTTGTTGCTGTAATAGGGAAGGTTCAGCTTTCCCTCCGAGGAAGTGAAGCCCTGGTGATCCCCAGGAGGAGAACACCTTCTGCAGGAGCTGAACTGGAGCGTCAGTGTGTCGCTCTGGCGACTTCTCAGAAGGAACTGCAGGAAATTGAGAGAATAATCTCAGCACACCTTCAGGAACAAACAAACATCTGTAAGGGTCTAAGTGTGTTTGAAAGATCGTTTCTGGATGATCAATTGAAAAATCTTAAGGCTAGAGCCAGCAGAACTCAACGATTCATTCAAAATAAGTGGAATGAAGTAGAACGCAAGATACATTTTTATAGCGAATTCCATGAGAAAACATCTGCGCTTCAGAAGGAGGTTGACCATATCCAGCACAGGGAACTGAAAGAACTCAATCAAGGACTAAATCAAGATGCTAAAGAGGAGTTCTGTAGTCTTCAAGATCGACTCACTGGTATTCAGTCTCGGATCCTACAAGTACTGAAACTCAAAGAAGTGTTTGACCAGCTAGGACTGAACTGGGATTGTTCCCAGCTTGATCAATTACAAACCCAAGTATTTGAAAAAGAGAAGGAACTTGAAGAAAAAATTAAGCAGTTGGACACATTCATGGCAGAACATAGCAAATACCAAGCATTACTGAGCAAACTGAGGGCTATGGATCTGCACATTAAGGAAAGGGCTGAAGGAGTATTAAAACCTTTCAGTGCCTCCCCAGACAGCATTCTGCTCAGTGCTCACATTTTGAATCAGAGAATCGAGAAAGCTATGTGCTTGAATCGTGAGATGCTAAAGAAGTTAAGTGAAAGTGAAGTATTTGATGGCTCGTTCAAAGAGGAAGAAATACTACAAATGAAACTGTATGCAGAAGAAAATGCTAAGTTACACACGATTCTCCAAAACATAGTACTAGAATCCCAGTCGAAAGAAATGGATGAAAAGAACTTTGACGACAAATTAGAAAATTCCTTACGTGTTTTAAATCAGATAAAATCTCAGTTACAGCAGCCTTTACTTATAAATTTGAAAATGGAACATATTGAAAATGAAAAGATTAACTGTGAAGTGTTTCAAGAACAAGTTCAGGCAGAAATGTATAGCATTAAAGCTGTGACAATTACTGAGAAGCAAAGAGCAGAAAACCCTTCTGAAGCTAGTGATGTGGAGAAAAAATTATGTGACATTGAAGATCTTCACATGCAGCTTAACACAAGCATTGATTTGCGCACAGTAAGTTCGTGCTTTAATTAAATTTCTTTGCTTTAATAACTATTATTAATGCATTTATTTCTATTTCATAATTTTTTGTTTTACTCTAGTTAATATCTGCACTTCAAGAGGATACAGGTTCTATAGGAATATTCTCTATAGAAGAGCCATTTTAAAAACTTGCAACGGGTTAGTTAATAATCCCAACTCATTCCACATCTAAATACAATGCCTTATAGTTTAGAAAAAGATAAGTTTGACACCTTTATTTCTGTATTCCTTGTAGCCTCTGTTGAGCTCAGAAGAAAGTTGTTTGTTTGTTTGTTTGTTTGTTTAGAAATAGGGCATGGTGGAAGAAATACGGTGTAGGGGCAAGAACATAAGATAATAACTCCACATTTATTTAGAACTTACAGTGTGTAGGCACTGTGCTCATAGCAACTCTGTGAGGTGGGTGCTATTAGCCCTGTTTTAAAATAGGGAAATGAAGTTTAGAAACATCAAGAGTTTTCTCTTGTAGCAGGAACAGAACCAAAATTGAAGTTGAGATCCATCTGAATTTAGAGCACAAGCCTTAACATCAAGGTCCACGGACCAGATCTGTCCACGGTGTCTGATTTTATAAATAGTATTTTATTGGAACACAGCCATGCCCACTCCTTTATGATTACCTGTGGCTGTTTGCCTGCTAAAGCAGTATGATCGAGTAGTTACAATATGATTGTCCAGATGGCCTGCAAATCCTAAAATCTTTAGTCTGACCTTTCATAGGAGAAGTTTGCTGACTTCTGTTGCAGAGTGATATCTTAGGCATCATTGGAATGCACTGTGCTCAATATAATCCTTTGACTGTATTTTCAGAATTGTTAAATTTATACAATAGGGAAATTAACTCCCTCCTTTAAGTCAAAGAGTTATTAGATAATGTATTTGAAATCTTTTGATAAGTATAAATACTATATAGAAATGTAAAGTCATATTGTGGCCCATAGTATGTTCTTTAAATTAGTACTTAACAAATGTTGAGTAAAATAAGTTAACTTCTCTACCTGATTTTAATACAATTTCCAGAAACAATGTGCATAAATTGCCAAAATAACATGATAGCACTGGAATGGAAAGAACCTTTAAAGTTATTTGTTTCAACCATTTGTTATTTCAATGAGAAGACTGAGGTCTAGAGACATTAAGTGATATACAAGTTAGTGGCTGAGCCATTAATTAAAAAGCACAAGAGGTCTGGGTTTTTAAAATTTGTTTTCTTGTTATTTTTTTCCCACAAATCTTGATTAAGGCATATACATTATATATATTCAATTGTTTAATTCATGATCTAATACAAGAGTTCTAGAGCAGGAACATATATCATTAGATGTGATTCATGCAATCTATGTTTGAATTTGGATTAGAGTTGTTAGCAAATCTGGAAACAGTTTTTCTTCACTCAAATAAAAAGTTATTCATTTAAAAATACTAGTTTAATATTGCCAAACTGAAGTATGAGATGTTAACTTTTGTAAGACCAAGAGGTGTGTTATGCACATAGCACCACAAAAAAATTCAAGAATGACAAAAATTCCTAAGGTTTGACAAGTGTCATCACAGCGTTTAATCTATTCAACAGAATGTCTTGACTAATGCTCGTGAAAACATGGCACGCTATAATGAGGCAGTCACCAGAGCAATGCAGGTCATCACTGCCCTGGAAGCCGTCATCGTATCCCACAGAGCCGACCTTGATAATCCAGAAGAATCACTAGAGAAGCCTCGCTGGCAGCAAGAGGAGTTAGAATCCACAGTAGCAGACATCCAAGACCTCACTGAGAAACTGGGGACTCTATCCAGCCCTGAAGCCCAACAACAGCTTCAGTGTACTTTACAGGAGTTACTTTCTAAGAACTCAGCCATGAGGGAGGCAGCCAGAGTCAAGGAAGCTGAAATCGAAAGGTGGGTACTTCTTTCTGAAGGTAGTGCTTTAAGAACAAAATGAAGATTATTTTTCTTTATAATTGACAAGTACACATTAGATACAAATAATTTGGAAAATAAGGAAAAGTAAAAAAAAAAATCACTGAAGAAAACCATAGGAAATATGTTACTGTTTTTATTTGATTTTCTTTATTTAATATTGAGTTTAATTATTTAATATAAACATGCAAGAGGATGTTTATAAAAGTCTGCATATGGTATGAAGAATAACAGCCTTGTAGCCAAAGGTTCAAAGATAAACATCATGACTTTTGAATACTCTTGCATGCTTCCCTCTCCTCTCAGAAGTAATAATCATTATCCTAAATTTTTGATTACCATTTTCTTACTTAAAAAAAAATTTTTACTATGTGTCTGTATTTGCATGTGACTTCAAACTCATCATTTTGATCCTGCAGTTCCTCATGTTCTTGTCTGTAATAAAATTCAGTCACCCAGCTATTGATAGACATTTGGGCTGTTACTAGTTTTTGCATTTACAAACAATGCTACTAGGAACATTTTTAAATGCAAGAGCTTCCCTTGGATGTATACATAGGATTGTGATTACTGGGTCAGAAGGTATGCACACTTAACATTTTTAATTCTAAATGATTTTACCGATTTCTGTTCAAACCAGCTACACATTAGTGTGCTCGTTGTCCTGTCCTTGCCAATACTTGATGTTGTGAGATTTAGTTTTTGCCAGTCTATTGGATGAGAAGTGATAGTTTTGTTGTGGTTTTAACTTGCATCTGTATTATTGCTAATGAATTTGAGCCTCTTTGAATATTTCTTGGTCATTAATATTTCTTCTTCTGAAAAATGCCTGTTCTAGCATTTACCCACTTCTGATTGGGTAGTCCATCTTTTTCTTACTGATTTGTAGGGATTTATTTTATGGTTTAGAGGCGTCCTTTGTTGTTATATGTGTTACAAATATCTATGCAAAGGGGCTCTTCTATTAAACATTCGTCCTGGGATGAACTCCAGGCCTTATCCTCTGTGCCCAGCATTCCAGAAGGTCAACAAAACCAGAACTTGACAAATGCCCTTTAAGTGAAAAACTGGTTTTCGGGCTTAGCTTGTTTCTGTTTTCCCACTTTTATGAAGTTTGGGACCTCTCAGTCTTCCTTAATTCCTTGCCAGTTTATTATTGTTTTAAGAATATATATATTTGATACTGAGTTTTGAAGTATTTTCAGTGGGGAATTTAGGCTTTATCTATTTTATTCATAGTGTTTTTAGGAATATATGCTATATAAAAATACGCTGCTTTTCCTTTATAAGAGCATCTGTTTTCCTTATTTTAACAAAAACTTCATAAAAAATAATTGCTATGATGTATTTTATAAAATGGATTGTTATAATTTACTTAACCATATCTTTTGTTACACATAAAGTATGTTTCAATTTTTGCCATTTTGATGAATAATCCATTAAGTAAAAATATTTTTTTATACAAAAGGTTTCATTAGGTTTAGGATAAATTCCTTATATTAGGATTTATTCCTTATGATAAATTGCATAAGCTGAATTAATGGGTCAAAAATTTGAGCATTTTTTTTAAGACTAAACAGGTTTTTTACAAGAATTGTACCATTTTGTCCCTCAGTAGCAATGTTCAAGAATGCAGTGTTCCAATTTAGATGTTTTGAGAACAGTCTTACCTGCCTGTTATAGTTTGCATTAAGTCTTATGCAGTCCTTTTGAGAAGGAGGTAGTCAATAAAATGTGTCGAAATACATTGAATAAGCAAAAGAGGATTACATTGTTTTTTATTAAATGTTCAGAATTCATTCTGGGAAGTTCAGAATTTATTGCACTAAATAAAGTTTAATATCACTTTTTTTCTAACTGTGCCTCACTAGGTGTCTCAAGGATTACAAATGCTATAGAGAAATTAAGGAGAGAATTTGTACTAACCTTAGTCAAGTGGAGACAGTCCTTGAAGAGTCTATGTCCACGTTGCCAGGGTCTTACAAAGAAACTTTAGAGCGCTTGGAACACAGCAAGGTAATAATATTTGCAAATCTCCAATAAGACCTTATGCAAACATTGGCAAAAAAGAGGAGGCGGAAGCAGCTGGGAGTGTGGCTCTGTTATGATACACAGAAATCTTCAACTTGAGTTGTACACTCAAGAAAAATCTCTCAAACCAAAAGCCAAGGGACCCAGTGAAGCAATGGTTCTGAGAGATTCAGTCATTTGGATTCACAATACAGTACTCTTCCCAGTGGTATACTACCCTTACTGATCACTCTTTCTAAAGATTTACCTTTCATGTTAATATGTTGGATGTTGCTGGATCAATGACAGAGCACCTGCAACTATCGTATAAATGCTAGATTTTGGTTACTTCTTATACTTTTAGTAAGCAATTTTTTTTCTTTTTGCTTATTTTCATATGTAGACTCTGTGGTATTATGTTATTAGGATTTAGGTAAGAACATTTTAAATATCTTTGCTTAATGTCCACCCCAAAACAAACATAAAACCTAAATAATGCATTGGTGTTTGATAAGTTAAGTATTGTACCAATTAACTACCTAGTAAAATACGAGACTTATGTTAAGATAGCACTTCTAAGATATTTATATTTAAAAACACATTGTTACTTGGAAAAATTGGTTTATGGGTCAATTTTTTGTCCTCATAGTTCTAAATTCATGTGCAAAACAGTAATGCATAGATAATTCTCAAATTAGCTCATATTGGCTTCCAAAGGGACTACAAAATGGGTCATGTAATACTTATGGATGATTTAAAATCAGTAATTGTTCAATATTTAATAGTATATGTTTCAGAAGTATTAATAGATGTCATCTCTCTTCTATTCCTTTTTTATCCTGTCTATAAAGGCCATGGTATCAAATCTTACATCAACCAAAGAAGAGTTTGTGAAAGTACGACAGATCCTCAGACACCTGAGACCCCTGTGCACAGACCACGATGGTGTATGTTTGCTCAGAACCATGCTGGCTCTGTGGGAAAAATGGCTGAGTTTGCTGGAAGCTGCTAAAGAATGGGAGATGTGGTGTGAAGAACTGAAGCAGGAGTGGAAATTTGTCAGTGAAGAAGTAAGTGCTATGTTTCAACAGTAAAACCATAGTTTCCTAACAAATGTCATTTAAATTGTTTAGTTCTTATATTATGTTTTTATGTAAAAGGAGTCCTCCACTGGTACCATTTGTTAACGTCACACATACATAGCATATCATGAGGTCAGGTCCTAGTAAAATAATAACCCAGGATAATATGAATTATTTCATAATAGTGTCATTTTTTTGGTATCAGATAATTCTTATGAATAATTGAGTATTCACTCATTTGAGCTTTAAAATCTTTATTGTGCAGATAATAGGATAACCCCTCTTAAAAATAACTTTCTACATCATACTAAATGTTAAAACTAGGTAATATTCATAACAACCAACTAATTTTGAAATTAACTGCAATTGTTAATTATGGAAGTCAACTGCAATTGTTAAGCACAACCCAAAAAATATGTATGATGTTCTTTCTGAATACTGTCTCAAAGGAAACCCCTATAAGATAGATTAGTCACAGATGTTATTTAACCATGTTTCAGGACTTAGACATCAAATGTATGTAGAAAGAAAATATAAAATAGTATAAAATTATCTTAAGGTAATCATTAGTCTTTCTTAAGGACCAGGTGAAAATGAGGACAAATCAGAACATGAAATGAAAACCCTCTGTCTTATTCATGTCAAAATTCCTGCTAACTTTATTTAAAAGATAAATAAATTAATCAACACTTGATTGGAGTAGGTCATGTGCTTTGGGATTTACATGTTTAGCACTATCCTATTTTCCTGCTTACAGCCTGATTTTCTTAGAAGTGAGTATCATTTTGGTGATGCTGGTGGAGTTTAATTAAATAGTCTCTTGAATGTTAAAACTCTAAGAAACTTTGTAAATTATACTTTTAGCAGGGCAGCTGGCTTCCAGTTCTTTCTCATCCGTATGACATGGTTTTTGGGGTCCTATTGCAGGAAACTGTGAGCTGTGCTAAGAAGACAGTTCTCGCAGGATGCCACTGAATCCTTGTATAGCCCTCAGTTAAATCCTTGTATAGCCCTCAAGATTTAAAGGTTGTTACCATTTTGGTGATGCGGAAACTGAGGCACTGAGCGACCTCCCAGCCAGTGATTGAGCTGGGGCTGTGGGTGGGGGCCACATCTGTTCTGCTCACTGCTGCAACTTGAGAATCTGGTTAGGGCCTTGCACTTATCCGGCCCTCAGTAATATTTCTTGAGGGACAGCTGTTATTCAAACCCAAGTCTAAGCTAATCCTAAGCTTTCGTTCAATTTTTTTTATTACATTGTCTCCCTAAGGCTATATACCATTTGCAATTTTATGTTATCCATTCAGATCCTATTCATTTTGAATTTTGTAATTATTCATATAAGCATTTCGCAAAATATCTGCTAACAAAATGTGGTTTTTGAAGAGTAGCAGAAAATATGTCCTCACGTAATAATGACAGCAGCTTACTGGGTGCTTGCCAAGTGTGTGTCAGGCAGTTCTAAGCACTCTACATGCATTAGCATTTCTCCTTGCAGGAATCCTAAAAGTTAGTAGATATTTTTGTTATCCTCATTTCATAGATGAGGAAAGTGAGACCCAGCGAGGTTGAGAGTAACCAAATTCACAAGTGAGTGGAAGGAGAGTATTCAACCTTACACCCTGGTGTTTAAACACTAACCTGTTAACTTATACATGCCAAACTGATAAAAGATTTTAAAGTAGCTTTTATTCATTCAATAAGAAGTATATCATCTAAAGATCTGAACATGCAAGATTCTGTTAGCATGATTGGTGCCTTTATATGTGACAAAATGAATTACTTTAAAAAAATGGCTATAGTAATATAATAATCTAGTAGCTTTATGGGATAAAGGTTTTAGATAAGTAGATTTTCAAAAGTTTAAATGCTCTATTTAAATTTACAAAAAAAAATTAATTTGAATTTTGATGCACCTTTATTTCCCTCCTAAAATCTTACCTCCTTGTTTTCTTAAATAGAATCTTCTTGATTTAATTATTCATTTCTGGTTATTCAAAATCATCATTGTGTTTCAGTGATCATAATGTGCTAGAATAAAGTCATGTTTTCGAAGATAATTGGAGGTGGTGTAAGGCTGGCTTCTTTTCCTCGTACAAGTCATTTCTATATTAGTTCCTTGTTCTTCTGGTTTTCAGGCTCCTTCACTATGTTTATTTATGGTGCAACTATGCTTCCTTTTCCCTTTCTAGATTCCACTTTATAATTGACTGTCAATCTAAAAGTTTTTAACCAATTTTATTAGAATTCTGTGTCTAAGGAAAAACATCCAGGGGCTGCAGAGCCTCTTCTAGGTAAAAGAGTGATTTCATAATCTTTGTGGTAAGTATTTTCATGACTAGGGGGCTGTCTTCACCCTTTTTAGTGTAAAGTTTGTTGAGGTTTGAGAAGCACATACAGTCACTTGACCGCCAACAAAATCAAAATTTAGAGCATTCTCATCACCTTAGAAAGTTCTCTGGTGCCCCTTTGCAGACAGTGCCTTCCGTAATCTCCATCCCCTGGCGACCAGTAATCTGTTTTGCCACTTCCGGAATGTCCTATAAATGGACTTGAATGCTTGAGGTCCCTTGAGTTTGGCTTCTTTTCACTAAGTACTATGTATGTGAGATTTATTCATGTTGTTGCATATATCAACAGTTCATTTTTTAAAAATTCCTGAGTAATATTCTATTGGGTCCATGTACAGTGGTTTGTCTATCCATTCACAAGTTAAAGTACTGCCTAGCTTTTGAGTAAAATTGTCCTAATAAAAATTATTCTCCTCCTTTGTATTCCCCTGCTTAATCACTTACCAACTTAAACTAGGCAGCACAGCCTGAGACAGGGGCTGGCAGCTGGATTATTTTGGAAAGTGGCCCCAGGGAACAGAAGTGGGGGACAATGAGAACTGAAGTGGAGAAGGTCAGAGCCTGTAGTTGCTTTGCTCTTCTTGGGTCCCGGGCACTTTCTTGCCCCTACGTGATTATCACCGGGCATGGAAGCACGAAGAGTTGCTCTATTAGTCCTGGATTAGACATAGTTTTTTAAAACCCTGACATATATTGGAAACCCTATATGTACAACGACCTCAGTCAATGTAGAATTCCTTTCTTGCTAGCTCTCTGGCAAGATCATCACTCGTGTGATGATCTGTCATGTCAAGATTGCAGAGATGACTAACTCAGTTTGAACACAGAGCAGGAGAGTTTAAAAATGTGAAGGGAGAATGTGATACATGTGTGGTGCAGCTGAGGTGAGGGCCAGAGGATTTGAGGAGGCACTTAAGAGGGATCTGATTTTCTATGTCTTCATTCTGAGTTCTGGGTTAATAAAACTCCAGTTGTGAGATACACAATTTATTAGATTGTATATTTCTGGGTTATGCACATAACAGTAGTTAACAAATACATAATTAACTCAGTAATTCAGGCTGCTTTCCCTTTGGTGTAGGTGTAAAGGGAATGAGGACATAGTCGCTTACTTTTTTGAGCATTATAGGGATTGGATGTGAAAGAAGAGAGACCTGTTGAAAAATTATCCAGTAGTCTCCCAACCTCTTATACTAAGTGGATGCAGCTTGGTGGAACTCATTCTAGCTAACTTATTGGGTATCTCAGGAGAAATAGTTGCTCTATGCAGCCAAAATCTGAAGAAGAAAGAATTTATTTATGAAAATATTCAACAGTGTCCTTTTGCTCATAACAGAATACTTGATTTTAATCACACACCTACATGATCAATAGCTGGGAATTATGAGATTATGATAGTGGAGGAATAATATTCCCATCTATAGGAAGACAAATATTATGTTAAAATAGAATATGGTATTAGAAACCTTCTGAAGAGCCAGTATACAAAAATTATGGTTGCCAAAGTGTGCTTCAGATCCTGAAATGGTGAGTATATTTACTTATTTCAGCTCTCTTTTTTGTTTATTGAATTAGATTGAACGAGAAGTGATAATTTTAGATAATCTTCAAGAAGATCTCCCTGAAATTTCTAAAATAAAAGAGGCAGCCAGCACAGAGGAACTCTCTGAGTTGCTAGACTCTTTATGCCAATATGAAGAGAATGTGGAGCAGCAGCAGCTGTTACTGACCCTACTTCTTCAACGCATAAAAAGTATCCAAAACACTTCTGAAAGCTCAAGGACTATAGAAACTGTTCCAGCATTTCAAGAGATTATGTCTATGCAAGATCAATGCAACAAGTAAGATTTACAAGCAGCTGTTAAGGAAACATGCTTGAGAACTCAGGCTTTAAACTTAGAAAAAATACTGAATTTCAAGAATATGAAAATATTGTAGAATAATGACATGATTTGACAGAATTGAGTTATCTCAGATGGGTATAAAAATAGATGGAAAATATTAATGATAATTAAAATAAGCACATGTTCTCCATCCTGGTATTATTGAGGGTGAATATTATTCAAGTTTTTCTTAATGTTTGCTGTTTTTCTAATTTAGTAATACATATTCGTTATAGGAAGTTTAGAGAATGTGGAAAATTATAAAAATTAATATAAAACGTTCCTTTAATTTTACTAATCAGCAATAGTTACTGCCAGTAACATTTTTTCTCTTTTTTACCATGATCATATTTTCAAACTTTTGATCATAGTACTGTACTGTTTTGTATTCTGCTGAATCATTTATCAGCATATCCTGTTTGTTTTCCTCTGCCATCAAATGTTCTTTAAAACATAACTGCATACTATTTCATAATGTGAACCTGCTGTAATTTGTTTAACCATGCCTGTAGTATGGAACTTTTATATGTATTTTTTTTTTAATTTTATAAAAATACCATAGTGAATGTTCTTATGCTTTAATCTCTATCTCCATCTATGATTAAGTCATTGAGAAAGAAGCCAAGAAGTAGAATTACTGGGTCAAAGACTATAATATATTAGTGACTAGAAATACTTATCAGATAGTTCTCGGGACAGATTTTACCCACTTAAACTCCTCTCCTAATATGGTGACTCCATCATAGCAAATGGGGTCAGCTGAGATAAAAAGGCTAGTCCATCCATGTCTCCATTTATACCTCTATGTTATGTTCAGTCGAACTCAAGGATTACATGGAGCAAAGGAGGACAGAAATGGCAATTGGAAAGTAAGTTGTGAAAAAAAAGTATATTTAAAGATTAAAGTTTTGGAGAAGATTTTGATTGAGAGAATTTGATATATGTTTGTATACATAGTATATAAATCATTGCAAACTTGTCATTTTCTCTCAGCGAAAAAAGTCTTTGGTAAGCCATGCAGACATTGTGCTAATTGTTGAAATAAAACTGTTTCACAGAAGAGCACAATAGAACAATTTTATTTTGGTGATGTATTTTAGGCTTTTTCTGAAAGCTCAAAAAAACAAGGAACTGATACAAAATGAAATCCAAGAAAGACATTCCTTCACAAAAGAAATAATTACTTTGAAGAATTTATTTCAACAGACTACAACTTCTTTCCAAAATATGGAATTACAGGACCACCCAGAAAAGGCAGGACAGTTTGAGGTGAGTAGTAAATTAGTGAATGTGGCTGACATAGGTCTGAAATCTTGAATTCAAAGTCCTTGGGACAGAGGTAGCTCAATGACTAGAGTGAAGGGAGTAGGCCAGGAGAAAGAAAACGTGCAAAGGCCCTGTGGCATAATTTGGGCAGAGCTACCCAAGACCAGGAGTCCAGAGAAAAGAACTGAGACATGGCTGGGAAACAGGCCAGTCTGGACCAAGCAGCCCTTTCTGTCGCGACCCTTCAGGGACTGGAGCAACACGCCCAAGGTCTTGATTCTTCTCTAGGCTTTATTGTCTAATCTCTCGTGGTTACAGCAGTTGTCGGGTAGCTTGTCTCCCTCCCGGCGGGCTCCCTTATATTCAGTCACCCAACCAATCCGGAACAGTATCATGCGTGACCTTTAAGCGGATAGGTGTCACGCGCCACTCTAAGCGGGCAGCACGAGCTGTGCACGGGTACGGAAGTCTGCTGGGCCAATCCCCAACAGGGAAGAGGGGAAAGGGTGGTGAGCAGGAAGCAGGCGCCATCTTTAGGGCATTGTCCAGCTAGAGTGGGGCTCAGCCTCGGCCGTAGGCCGGTCCCCCACATTTTCAACCACTTTTCAAGCATGTTTGGTGAACAGGGGTCTCAGACCATTCTTGGGTAAGACTGACTGACTTGAGTAGAATGAAATATCCTATCTCTGATTAGGGTGGAACTGTTTTTATTCACAACACTTCTGAAACCAAATGTGTGGGGATTTTCCCCCAGCCTATTCTCCAACTTTCTAGAAAGCAATCAAGTGTCCTGCAATTCAGTTCAATTCTAACACTGCCCAAGTTAGCACAGACCCCACAGCTTAAAGGCTCATTCCCACAAGACCATTCCCATTTCAGGTCCCAGTCGCAAGTCCCAGGACTCTCATAGTTCTGACAGTCTGTAAATCAAAGGTTTCCATAACCCCCTCTTCAGGTTCAGTAATTTGCTAGAGTGGCTCACAGATGTCAGGAAAGCACTTCACTTAACTACTCCTGGCTTATTATAAAGGTTACAACTCAAGCAGCCAAATGAAAGAGATGCATAGGGTAAGGTCTAGGGGAAGGAGCGCGGAGCCTCCATGACTTCTCTGGGTGTGCCACTCTCCGAGGACCTGGATGTGTTCACCAACTCCAAAGCTCTCCACACCCTGCCCTTTAGGAGTTTTCATGGAGGTGCCATTATGTAGGCATGATTAGTTAAATCATTGGCCATTGGTGATTAACCACACCTTCTGGCCCTCTCCTCTCCCTAGTGGTCAGGAAGTGGGGCTGAAAGTTCCAGCCCTTTAATCACGTGGTTGTTTCCTCTGGTAACCAGCCTCCATCCTGAAGCTATCTTGGGCCTGCTCCCCCACCCCCTCATTCATTAGCATAAACTCAGGGGTGGTTGGAAAAGGCTTGTTATGAATAACAAAAGATGCTCCTCTCACCTCTAGGAAATTCCATGGGTTTTAAAATCTGTGCCAGGAACCAGGGATAAAATTCAAATGTGTTTATTATATCACAATATCACATGCCCCTTTGTCATTTGGGACATCATTTTTTCAGACCAGTCTCTTCTCATTCCGGTATAATGGCAGTAGGAAAAAATGACACTTGGAAGTTCAAAAGTCACATGATTTTGTTAATCAAGCCATTTGGTTATCAATGCTGAAAAAGGAAACTTACTCTCCTTAACAGAAGCAGTCCTCACGGGGGAGCCAACTGTGGTATCTGAATGAAGACCTGCACTCCCACATTAGGTCTAGACAAAACAGGTTGACTCTGTCCGGCAAGCCCCACCTTTGACTGATGGCATTGTTCTTTAACTTTCCCTCTCTAGGTTTGTTCTGTTCTGAAAGTTAAGGAAAACAGTGATACATCATGGAGTCATTCAAAATTGAAATCATTCTTCAGTGTGGTGACTCAGTCCATTAACACTAATATGCATAATAGAATAATGCTACTGAACAGTTACTATAAAAACAAAACAAACCCAAAAAGCCACAGTAAAGTCAAGAAGTATTTTTCCACTTAATCTTTTGGAAACTTTCCCAAACAAATGAGTTTCTCCTTTATTATTAGTGCAGGAGAACATAGATCAGATTTTGTTTCTAGGCCACAACCAATAGACTATTTGTTCAAGTTTCTTTTATCTCCTAAAACCCACATTCTTTGCATGGAACTGGAACCCTCCCTTTTGAAAGAAGTTGAACTCTGCTGGGCTGTCTAATTACATGTAAGCAGACACTTCTGCTTCAAGGATAGGGCTTTTAGTGGCCTTGAATCATTGTGATGATAATGTAGAAAAGCAGAAATGGCAACAAGTTAATAACAACCAAAAAAAAACTTCTTTGAAACTTTTTGCTCCTTGCAGCTTTTTAGATCAAGACTGTAACTGAGATACAATTAAATTCTAGAGGTAGTTTGGAAGCAGGAGATGTTGTAATGTCTTTGTAGGTCAATGGTTTGACACTATGAAGAGATACCAAGTTTAATTCTTACAAATTAGAAAGCATCATCTGACCAAACCGACTGTCTCTCAGGCTTAATCAGCTTGTATCAATAGTGAGGTTTTGTCATGCAAAGTTTGCTCATTTAAATCAGAAGGATCTGCTGGAAAGCTGCTTTCATTTTTAGAGTTAAACTTATTCCTGTGTCCTGTGAGTGTTTGAAACTGTCTTTCTGTTTTTAGGAGCTGCAAAACATCCTTAAGAAAGGGAAGCTAACTTTTGAGGATATTATGGAAAAACTGCAGATCAAGTATTCGGAAATGTACACCATAGTCCCTGCAGAGATTGAATCCCAGGTGGAAGAATGCAGAAAAGCTTTAGAAGACGCTGATGAGAAGGTAATAATAATGTTTCTCCTAGTGTTATTATTTATGCAGTTGAATGAGCTATCACTGTTTGTATAGTTTCGTTAAGGGGTAATTTTGTGTATTGAATACTGAGATGAAATTGCTCTAAATAACATTGATAACAATTAGATTATCTGTTTAGTTTTAGTTGTCAAAATGCTCAGTTTTTCTGATCTTGCATTTAAAAATAGAGTTTATTATCTTCTACTAAGTGGCTATATTTTTCCAACTGGAGAATCACTTTAAAATTTCAGATATAAACAACATTTTGCTATGAGCACTTTGAAACTGCAGCCAAGGGCAGTAAGAATACAAATTTTACAACTCACTAGAAATAGGCACTTAACATAGAGTGTCTTTCTAATAATGATGGTAACACATTCTCACAAAGCATTCTTGAGCAGATCTTTCTACCTGAAAATCCAGGTTGGGAGAGTGGAAAATGTTTCGTAGTAGTGGACATGTGGTAATTTAACAAGACAATTCTATTAAATTGTAAAAAGGCAGCCCAAATCCAACAGAACAAAATTCTATTTGGCACAGCATCCACGGAAGGATTTTTGTTTTGCTTTCTGAAGTCTAGAAAGAGTCCTCTGTACCTTAATACATAAAATAGGTATTAAATGCATACAAACTAATCAGATTTCAGCTGAAGTTAACTTCTATGACAGATTTCTTGGGAAAATCTAACACATATAGAAAACTTGTAAACTCCTAATATATATTTATAACAAATCTTGTTTTAACACATATGAAAAGCTGTTGTGAGATACTTTCTCAAGAATCATGTACTACTGATTTTAAAAGCATACTTTAAAAGTAAATGTTCTGAGAGAAAGTAAATTCATTTTCATAAATACTTAATGTGAAAATCCCTAACAAGATGAATTAATAATCAAAATGAGCCTTTTAAAGTTAGGGTTGAAAATTTCAACTGTAACTCATATAAAAACAGCAACTGATTTTTATGGTGTGATGTGTTTAAAGGGTCCTGGCAACAGACTCAGTACTATTCTGTATAATTCAGATGGCTGCTTGCTTTTCCTAAATCATGATCTCTCACAATGTACCTAAATGATTTGCACTTCTGCCAGGAGAAAAATTCATTTTTTGGTAATTTGTTACATAGCAATAAAAAGCTATTACAGCAATAAAAGACTGATACAGGATTAGGTTTTTTTGATTGTTTCTAAAAAACCTTGACTGTGGTATGATCTGTGAAATAAAACTATTTTATAAAAGTATTAACATCCTGATACAGTGAGAAGAGCCTGGGACCCCAGAGTCTGGCAACTCAGGGCTTTAGGGACAAGGTCAGCCGCTACCTTGATATGTGACCTTAATCCAGCAAGTCTTTTAGCCTGTGTTTAGATTTTATATCTGTATACTGTCTACACTAGAAGGTTTTAGTCTCAATGTTTATACAGATGTAGTGGTTTTTAAGAGTTAAAGGATTATACAAAAGCACAAAGTATTTTGTGGTTTAGTGTCTTCTTGGAGAAAACCATATCAACATAGCTTAAGAAAACAAAAACACTGACTTATCATGTATTTGAAAATGATACATCCAACATTCATTTATTATCTTTCCTGGCACAAGTTTTCATAAAAGCATTCATATAAAAAATGAGATTGTTAAGCAGCTAGATTTCTGATTGTGTGAAAACATGCACTATAAACATTCACACAGAGAAACTAAGCTTTGGTGCATCCTCGAGAAATAGTTTTAGAAGGTTATTTCACTTAAATTAATTATTCATGGATTACATTTGTTAAGGTGACTTGAGAATAAGTTTGGTTTTATTGCAAACAGTTCTGTAGAAAGGACTTTTTCATAAAATGTAAAGACTACAAGAATTTTTTTTGTATAAAAAAATTCTTTCAGGTCATTTACTCCATTGGGGTATGTTTCAAACAGTCCACTTAGTAGTTTTGCCCAACACAGCTCATACCTGTGGATATACTGTGGATTACATTCAAGGAGTTCTTGTTTGTTGGATTTTTTCTTTCTTCCTTTTTTAGATTGGATTTAAAAGATCAGGTCAGTACAGCTGCCATTTCCTTGTCTGCTATACCCGCTCATTAACACATTAGCCAGTAGGGTTTGGGATTTTTCCCCTAACCCTTAAAAGATTTTTATAAGTAAAATCGTATAACAGTGTGAGACTACCCCTTCTATCATTTAATCCTGTGAATAGAGTGCAGAAAACATCTCTAAACTAAATGTGTCTTTCTCCTCTTATAACAGATTAGCAATGAAGTCTTGAAAAGCTCACCATCATTCATAATGAGTAGAAAAATAGATGAAATTAAAAATGGGCTTCATAATGTTGAAAAGATGTTGCAACAGAAAAGCAAAAATATTGAGAAAGCTCAAGAAATTCAGAAGGTAACATCCTCCTTTAACTTCCTAATTTAGCAGTTGGTATTCCCCATTTATCAGGCAATACAGAGTGCTCCTTGGTAAGCACAGAGATCATAATGCAGATACACAGGGTCACCTTATTGAGAGTTGCCTGCAGAGGCTTGGTAGGGAAGGTTGCATTTAAGAATTATTCTCCAAACCCCTAAGAGATGTGATAGCCTTTTCACAAGTATAGGAGAGTCAGTTTATCTTGGGAAAGCCCATATATAAAAAAATATTATAAATACAAGCTAGTATGTTTCTATGTTAGAGCATTTCTTAGAGTCTTTGAATTCTTTAGAAACTTTAGAGGTTTTCTAAAGTAAAGTAAATTAAAATTGGAAAATATAATATGGAACATTTATGAAACTTATTTGATAAAAAAATTATTTCAGTAGGATTTGTATAGTGTTGACAGCTTTTCTTTAGGTTCCTAGGTGATATAGGGAAATAGAAATTCTAAATTTATTTCCCTTGTAAATATCTTATGAAATAAAGTTTTAGATAAAACTGTATGTAAACATAATATTTTATCTCTTAACTGCAAGTAAACTCCTGCATATGGAAAGCATTCTTATTCTAATCTGCATTTTAAGGATATATTCACATACAAATGGAGACTTTTAAAAATATGTTGGAATATGGCTCACTGTTGGACAGTCTTGGACTTTTAATAAGTAAAGAAACCTAATTTAACCAGTTAGGTTTTCCCATTTCAAGAAATTATGTTTTTAAGCAAATATTAAGAATTAAATTTTTTACCTTTGAGATTTCCACTGCCCAGACAAATCCAGGTTTAAATCCAACATACTGATTTCTTGTTTCAAAAGCAGTTTTACTATACAGGTGGCTAGAACTTTCTGCCACTGCATTAATCCTGCAGAGACAAGAGATTCTCTTTTTATTAGTTTTATTTTCACCCTAAAGAAAAATTGTCTTCCAGATTAAGTACATACTGGACTAAATAGGTTCTAAAGTCCTTTTTAAACATAATGTTACTTTATCACTCTTGAAAGACTAGGGTTATACTGACCTTGTTTTGTGTCAGGCCAGGGCTTTGTGCTCTCTCACAGCTAATTCATTCTAAAACAGAGTAAAGAGGCTTCAGAAAAAATGGTTTTCAGTTTAGGTTGCAAGTGGTTTCCAGACATAAGTGAATACTTGCCTTGTGATGTTGTTTCAATAGAATTTACATGTGCAAATACTCTGTGAAAACTAGGAATTCACACATTAAACCATGACATCTACATTCAAATTGACTTCTGATTTCCTTCTCCAGAATATGTGGGATGAACTAGATGTCTGGCATTCTAAGCTAAATGAGCTGGATTCTGAAGTCCAGGACATTGTTGAGCAGAATCCAGAACAGGCTCAAGAATGGATGGATAGCTTGATGATTCCTTTCCAGCAGTATCAGCAAGTATCACAGAGAGCAGAATCTAGAACTTCACAGTTAAATAAGGTGGGACAGTAACACATGGTAATGACACATGGATGGTGGTGGTATTGAGATGGGTTTAAAACAAAACAAAAATACATATTCAGAGGCAACCAGTTCCCCTTGAATTGCCAGCTTTAGGACCTAAAGCTAGAGCCACATGATAGGTCCAGGTGGGCACTGAGGGTACAGATTTAACTGCTGGCACAGACAGTAAGTCTGATTGGTCAGGCAGAAACAAGTATCAAAAAATCAGAGAACAGCAAGGGTCCAGGAGAGTGCTGAGCTTCCCAGTAGGTAATAGGCATTTCCTGCAGGAGGCTCAAGAGTCCTGGGAGCCAGCAATGAGGAAGAAAGTCATTCAGAACTAGCCACCTTCCCTCCCAAGTAGGGGTTATGGAGGGCAGTGGGTAAGTCATCCATGGGACAAGACCCTGAATAGGAGGACAAAATACAAATCCAGCTTTAAGAATGGGAAACAGTCTGGTTGCAAGGCTAACACACCTCTTGCTGAGGCCTGTAGCTTTAGGGTAGAACTTCTTAAGTCCTTTACATCTGTGGTCAGGACTAGTCTTAAAAATTGGCAGGATCAAAACCTAGAGGACATGGGAAAGTGGCCTCAGCCACAGAAAGTGGAGCCTTGCAAAGCCTGCCACGCCACTAACAGCAACACGTTCTTCATTCAATAAACACTGGCCTCCAGTAAAGGCATCAGACTGAGTTTGGTACCACCTCTCTCACAGGCCACAATTAAGGTGGAGGAATATCATGATCTTTTGAAGAGTACTGAGGCTTGGATAGAAAATACCAGTTGTTTGCTGGCTAATCCTGTGGACTATGACTCTTCACAGATGCTGAGTCACCATGCTAGCACCTTGCAGGTAAGTGTTCTTCCAGTGTGCCATGGGCATCAGAGAATCCGGGTAATAATCAGTGGGTTAGCTGACCCTCGTGGTGCTTTTTTCCCCTAATTTCCTGGAAAACAGTATTACCTTCAACCATGCCAAATGGCAGAAGGAAGCTAGGGAGATGGGCAGGCTCTAAACAGGGATTTTGGAGACCAGAATCTGGTTCTTTCTACCCTGATAACTATTACATGACTTTTCGGATAATCACCATATCCCTGATGGGCCTTGATTTCCCCCATCTCTGAAATCAGAATGTTGCACTGAATACAATGTTGGTAATACTGATTGGCAGAAATCTTAAGGTGGCTCCCAATATTCCTATCCCCTGGTGATCATGACCTGTATAAGCCCTTACCTTTATAGTTACTCCATTGACTAGGTAATGTTATATGGCTAAGGCAAGGGGATAGTCACTCTGATGAATACATGATTAATCATGGTAATATGATTATAAGGCTCCCTAGCACCAGACTTGAGAGACTCCTGCTGGTTTGAAGAGGCAAGCTGCCGTATTATGAGAAGGCCGTGGGGTTAGAACTCTAGGGCAGACTCTAGAAGCTGAGAGTGACCCCCAGGAAGCAGCCAGCAAGAAAACTGGGATCTCAGTTCTGCCACTGAATTCTACCAACAATTTTAATGAACTTGGAAGAGAAACCCGTGGTCTAGATGGCACCTTTCTGTATTCTGGTGACGTCCTGAGCAGAGGACACACCACAGCTCTGCCTGGACTCCTGAGCCATGGAAGCTATGTGATAATAATTCTGTTTTATTTGTGGTAGTTTCTCAGCATTAGAAAACGAATCTGTCCTTCCTGCCAGTTTTAGCATGTCATTATTCCAAATTTCTATGTCTCCATGTTGGCTTACAGAGACAAAACAAATGAAGTGTTTTCCTACTCGGGGCCCTGACTGCAAGAGGTTGTCTAGGTGCTAAGTATTTTAGCTTAGGTTTTGTTCTAAAGGCAGATTTTCCTTCTCTTAGGAAAAGATTTACCTACAACAATTTTTAGAGTAATCAGACCTCATGGTTGATCCAGCTCAACTTCTCTTTTTATCTTCAGAATAGCACACTGTGTTCCTAAATAAGCAACTGACTTTACCTCCCTGATGCTTGAGATTTCTTGACATGTTTTTTCCTGCATAACAGTTGTAAAGATGCTGCATTTTCACTTCCTCTGGTTCTTTTCTTCCCCTTGCCTGTGATTTCTGCCCCTAGCTCTTGGTTAACTTTCACATCCCAAAGTTTGTCAACTTTTTATTTTAAATCACCTGTGTTTTTCACCATTTTCAAGGAGTTTGCAAAGAGAGAGGAGAGCAATGATGCTTTTTCCTTGAATACTTGTCATGAGTTAAAAAAGAAAACTGTACAAGAAGCAGTTCAGGCAAAAGCAGCTGAATTTTTTTTTACCTTTTTGATATAAATGTGAAAGCATGAAAGTATCTGTCAAATTGTTTGAGACATCCTAGTTTGCCAGCCTTTGTTTATGAGTCAGAACTGAGTAGAAGTCTAGTTTTGGAGCTAGAGGAGGTAAGAACAAGGGAAGATGCAGGCTGATTTCCTAAAGAATGTAGCCTAATAAATCCCCCAATGGGAAGTCTCAATTAACTAGCCATATGTTAATACCCATCTTATTCCTGTTTTGAAAATTGTCATCTTACCTTTAGGACACCCTTTTCCATTTTTATAGGATTTTCACGCATTGATTTTTTAAAATTCTGTTATCATTAATCTACAATTACATGAAGAACATTATGTTTACTAGGATCCCCCTTCACCAAGTCCCCCTCCCACACCCCATTACAGTCACTGTCCATCAGTGTAGTAAGATGCTGTAGACTCACTACTTGTCTTCTCTGTGTTGCACATCCCTCCCTATGCCACCCCCCCGACATTATACATGCTAATCATAAGGCCCCCTTTCTTTTTCTCTGCCCTTATCCCTCCCTTCCCACCCCTCCTGCCCAGTCACTTTCCCTTTGGTACCCATTACTCCATTCTTGGGTTCTGTGATTCTGCTGCTTAGTTCCTTTCAGTTTTCCTTTGTTCTTATACTCCACATATGAGTGAAATAATTTGGTACTTGCCTTTCTCTCCCTGGCTTATTTCACTGAGCATAATACCCTCTAGCTCCATCCATGTTATTGCGAATGGTAAGATTTGTTTTCTTCTTATGGTTGAATAATATTCCATTGTATATATGTACCACATCTTCTTTATCCATTCATCTACAGATGGACACTTAGGTTGCTTTCATTTCTTGGCTATTGTAAATAGTGCTGTGATAAACATAGGGGTGCATCTGTCTTTTTCAAACTGGGCTGCTGCATTCTTAGGGTAAATTCCTAGAAGTGGAATTCCTGGGTCAAATGATATGTCTATTTTGAGCTTGTTGAGGAACCTCCATACTGCTTTCCACAATGGTTGAACTAATTTACATTCCCACCAACAGTGTAGGAGGGTTCCCCTTTCTCCACAACCTTGCCAACATTTGTTGTTGTTTATCTTTTGGATGGTAGCAATCCTTACTGGTGTGAGGTAATATCTCATTGTGGTTTTAATTTGCATTTCTCTGATAATTAGCGATGTGGAGCATCTTTTCATGTGTCTGTTGGCCATTTGAATTTCTTCTTTGGAGAACTGTCTGTTCAGCTACTCTGCCCATTTTTTAATTGGATTGTTTGCTTTTTGTTTGTTGAAGTGCATGAGCTCTTTATATATATTGGATGTTA